GCCGTGGAGGTCGCGTGTCGGAGGCAGCGTGCGAGCGCCGGGAGGTCGCGTGTCGGAGGCAGCGTGCGAGCGCCTGGAGGTCGCGTGTCGGAGGCAGCGTGTGAGCACCTGGAGGTCGCGTGTCGGAGGCAGTGTGCATGTCATTCTCCGCACGTGGCACCTGCCCAGATGTTTTCAGGGGGAAAGTGGAGGCCTGGTCAGCACCGGTTGGGGGAACCCTGCACCGTGCTGGCATTCATGCCCAGCCCATGTCTTGGCACAGGTAGAAGTAAGCTTGCATTAACACGATGCAGGAGGACAAGAGGTTGCCACAGGCTACTGCGCTCGTGGGCCATGGATCTCCTGCCCATGTCTGACCTGGGGGGTCCTGCCTGCCAAGCCGATGACACCTCAGCTGTGAACGTCCCCGCCTGTCCTGGGGGTGCCAGTTCTCCAGCCCCTTCCTGCGGTTCCCTGCTGGGCACCGGTTTGCAGGAAGGGCTACAGCCGCTCAGGTTTGCCCTTTGGGGCATAGTAGGGCTGGGGGTTCGGGGTAAGGTTATAAGGGGCATCTCGCAGCACGGCCTGCTGTCGGTCACACGTACCTGCCGGTGGAGCCAACTGGAGTCAGTGCGGACATGAGCACGCGGTTTGGCTTCCCTCGCTGCTGTCTGCCCGCCTGCCTCTGCTCCTACACCCCCGTCTGTCTGTCTGTGTCTGCTCCAACACCCCCCCTCTCTTTCTAGACGCACGCCTGTCTGTCCCGATCCAGATTGCGTCGAGTCCTGGAGCCGCGGGGCTGGCAGGCAGCTCCAGAGCTCACATCTAGTCCAACCGCTTTGGACTGTGCAAACCGTCCCAGACAAACCCATCGTCCAAACTCTTTGTAAAACTACCATCAGCCTCGACATAACATCAGACCCCCTAACCTGCTGCAGAGAAAGCAGAGGAGCTGCAGCGGCCAACCTTCTGCTTCTATAAAAGACTATTAATATACACTCGGGAGACTGAGGTTGGGCCTCCGCTGCAGAGGAAGGCGAAACTCCTCCGTCTGTCCCATGACTAGAGGGGGAAATTCCTTCCTGACCTCAAGGCAGCATCGGGTTGACCCCAAGCAGAGGGGCAAGATCCTCTATCCAGGACCCTCTGGCTTAGACCCCAGCAGGAGCATTGGCACAGCCCAGCCTGGGCTGCTGCCAACACCCCCCACCCCCCGACACATGTAGGAGAAAGGGGTAGGGGGACAACCAGCAAAGGCCAAAAGCCTGGGAAATCCCCATAGCAAAATACAGGCATCACTACACCCGACTGGTGACTGTTCACCCTCTCCAGGGGTGCAAAGTGCCCCCCTTTCCCTGGCATCTGCCCCGTGCCGCCCTGCTCTAACCGGGAAGAAGTTTGTCTTTTCTCCAATCTAACCCAACTTTGCCCCAGGCAGGGTTAGAGGGTGTTTCCTGGTGGACACTGACCCATCCTGACGTTCCCCCTTAATTTTTATTCCAAAAATTCAGGGGGAGGACCGGGGAAGACGCCCCCCCAGTGCATGGCGGGGAGCCTGTCCCTTCCTCTCTGCACCCTGGCCCCCATCCTCTCCCATGTGCCGCGGCTCTGCAGCCTGTCCCTGTGCTGCCGCCGGCGCTGAGTGCTTCCCTAACACAGTCCAGATGGAGCGGCCCTGTCCTTCCCGAGAGATCTTATCGGGGAGTTGTTCTTGGCCCCGGTGGCACCAGGCGCGCAGGGGCCGGAGCCCGGGGCTGCCTCGCGGCGGCG